TCAAGAATGTTTGAAGCTTTTAGGGTGCGGTGAAGCAAATATTTACTGACTATATATGTACATTAGGGTGGTCCTTAAAAATGAGATGTAAGATTTTTCTCAGTCTTACCCCCTCAATCGGTAATACTACGGTCCCATACATATATCACAAATAAATTTTAGTGGCAAAGGGGTTAAAGGCTCGATGCCTCTATGGACTTAAAAAATTAAAAATATATATTTTTTTAATTTAATACCCAAAATCGATACTACCATAGTCAAAGACAACACATATAAATTTTTGGCCCGATTGGAGTTGGTTAAGACTTGTCGCAAAGGGGTCAAAGGCTAGATGCCTCCATGGACTTAAAAAATATTTTTTTTTCATTTAATACCCAAAATCGATATTACTAAAGTCGAGGATTTCACATATCAGTTTTAGTCCCGATTGAAGTCGGTTAAGACGTCCTCATAAGGTTATCTGAACGTTGACCCCTGTGCAACACGCCTTAACCAACTTCAATCGGGACCAAAATTTACATGTGATATCTTCGACTATAGTAGCATCGACGTAGGGGTTGAGGCTTAGGAAATCTGATGTAAAAATTTGATTCCTGCATTTAAGGACTACCCTAATATACATACTATATTTAGTAGGTATACTTTGGTATCAGAAAAAAAACCAACAAATTTAATTATCAGTGAATTAGGGAAATTCCTGAAAACTATTTTAGTTTGTGCGGAGTAAAAACAAAAATGGAGCATTACAAAAAAAAATATATATATAATGGAAATATGGAATTACAAAAAAATGCATCTGTTGTCCTACAACAATTCGATAAACTCAAAAAATTTATTTGATTTATGTAGCTCTTCAAGATATTTAGAAGTTTCCACATGGATTAGATTGATTTAGAATGACGGCGAAAACTTAAAGGCCCATACATAAACTAAATGCCTTTTTGGTACCAATAAGTTTAAAGAGCAACCATCGGGGTTGGTAAAATTAAGTATTATGGAGGCTTATATCTGACAGATCTTGCATCAATGTGAACTTATAGTATGCTCCTAGTACATATATAAGACTGACCATCTGCGAAAAAGGTGCTCTACTAGTTCCTGTTCGTTTTCATTGCTGGGGCTTCTACAGAATTCACTGTGGGTGATGACCAGCTTTCGGGTGTGGCAAATACCCAGAAAGAATTGCGACTAGTCTCGCTCGACTGAGCCAGCGATCGCTGACAAACTTTACTCTGAGCTGTTGTAGAGATTCGAAAATGATTTGAAGAAATAAAATTTAGAATTGAGCGAAGAAAAAAGTGAACTCTAACTAAGATAAAGCGCGAGTTCACAAGCTTGCTACTTCGATGGCGCAATTGCATGAATTAGCTTACTCCTCATTCCGCATATTCTTCAAATTTATCCGCCTGCAACAAATCGCTTTTTAAGATACCAAAGTACACATTTCATGGTAAGGGTGGTGAAGTTGTTATTAAACGGTTAGAAGGTACTTTGTCAAAAGATGGGTATCAATCGAAATGGTGTTGAAAATAATTTATTTCTAAACTGCATTTAGGAGAGTTGCCATGTGCTTAAAAAAATTAAATTCAACTTATTTCATCAGTTAATTGAAATATGTATAACAATACCAGGCGAAAGATTTTTGGCGGAGAATACTTTTAAAGGGGTTGCCACCTGTTTGAAAAGTCGAATTTGTTTTACTCATACGCAAGATACATAATAGAAATATCGAATTTTTAGTGTCAAACGAA